AGATGGAGAGGTAGAGAAGATTTCAGGAGACAGCGTGGAGGTAAAGCTAATTCTGAAGCTTTGAACGGTAAGACTAATAGCATGGGTTATCTCCACTTGTCATCTGACAGAAAATGAGATGGAATCGCGTAGAAAATGAGGATTTTTATCTGTGTTTGGGGTGAGTCTTTCTGCGGCTGTTGCCATCCAGGTGAATGCGAACCGGAAGCTGGCTGGTTGGTATGAAACAATATCAGAAACACGATCAGTGTTTGAGATGTTTTGATACATCAAATTTGACAGAGGTATCTTCTGAATAGGTAAATTATACTTAGTAATGATAGTAATAATGTTAAAATGAGTTTCATGAAACGAAGCAAGAATCGTTCTGAGAAAAAAAAATTGTATATTATACTCTTATTGAAAAACACACACTCACACACACACACACACACACACACACACACACACACACACACACCACTAGAAAACATTTAAGATGTAAGAAATTACTTAGCATACAGTTGTCCCCATGTGGGATGCAATTTTTCGTCATTTGAAGCCCCATCGTGGTTTTTTGCCGGGGTCCGTAAATATAACCGGGCGATAAATAAATATTGCCTAACGGCTAAAATGGGTTTCTGGGACCTCTCCACGGGTGATCCTTATCCGCATGGTAGTACTTTGTGTCAACGGGTGTCTACCGTAGTAACTTGAAAATACCGACCTAAAATACTGACTTTACCGCCATGAAAAACTGATTTAATGTTTACTTGGTCACATAACGTTAACTCGACCTTGTCACTGACATTGTCGGTTTTTAAGTCACCAAGAAGACGTGGGCTTCAAGTTGTCCACTACACAAAACCAATCTCTTTAGTTCTCCGACAATATCCCACTACGTGATCGGAATTCTTTGTCTCCATCAGTGCCTCTGACTGAAGTTGATAAATTCAGTTACTCTCGGAATTCCCGTTTCTTCATTCATTCTCCCGCCTGATGGCTGAGCCAAAGAACCGCCACACGCCATTACTGCTGGGATATTTAACACAATTATTTATCTTTTGAGGTATGCTTAAAAATGTTGATCATTTTAACTGTTTTATTTTATTTAATAGGTAAAGGTAATTAAACTGCAGGCTTTGTGAATAACAGGTGTTCATACCTGACACTTTCACATTTCCATCGGAGCTTCCTTTCATACTCCAATGATGGCATTATTTTATGTTTTATGATTTTATGTCTGGTAGCGTTCTTTACAATTTACCTGTTAGCCTTGTTTATTATTCCCCACAAGGCATTCTTTCATGCTTCCCTGACAGCATTTTTCATGCTCCTCTGACAGCATTGTTTCATGTTCCCCTGTCAGCATTGTTTCATGTTCCCCTGACAGCATTGTTTCATGTTCCCCAGACAGCATTCTTTGATGTTTTTCTGACAGCATTCTTTCATGTTCCCCTGTCAGTATTGTTTCATATTTCCTTGACAGCACTCTTTTATGTTCCCCTGAGGGCATTCTTTCGTGTTTCACTGACAGCATTCTTTCGTGTTCCCCTGACAGCATTCTTTCGTGTTTCCCTGAAAGCATTCTTTTATGTTCCCCTGACAGTATTGTTTCATGTTCCCCTTACAGCATTCTTTCGTGTTTTCCTGACAGCATTCTTTCGTGTTCCCCTGACAGCATTCTTTCGTGTTTCCCTGACGGCATCTTTCGTGTTCCCCTGACAGTATTCTTTCATGTTCCCCTGACAGCATTGTTTCATGTTCCCCTGACGGAATTCTTTCATGCTCCCCTGACAGTATTGTTTCATGTTCCCCTGACAGCATTGTTTCATGTTCCCCTGACAGCATTGTTTTCATGTCCCTGACAGCATGTTCCCCCTGACGGCATTCTTTCATGCTCCCCATGACAGCATTGTTTGTGTTCCCCTGACAGCATCTTTCATGTACAGCATTGTTTCATGTTCCCCTGACGGAATTCTTTCATGCTCCCCTGACAGTATTGTTTCATGTTCCCCTGACAGCATTGTTTCATGTTCCCCTGACAGCATTGTTTCATGTTCCCCAGCATTGTTTCATGTTCCCCTGACGGAATTCTTTCATGCTCCCCTGACAGTATTGTTTCATGTTCCCCTGACAGAATTCTTTCACGTTCCCCTGACAGCATTGTTTCATGTTCCCCTGACGGAATTCTTTCATGCTCCCCTGACAGTATTGTTTCAAGTTTCCCTGACAGCATTCTTTCGTGTTTCACTGAGATCATTATTTCGTGTTCTCCTGACAGCATTCTTTCGTGTTCCACCGGTATAATTCTTTCATGCTTTACGGGCAGCATACTGTCATATCCATTGGTAGCATTCTTTCTTATTGACTTTTTTCGCATATATATTTATATACATCTGCGTTTTAAGGGAGCTGAACACCCCTTTCCCCTTTTTCCATCAATGTGCTGTTTGTCTCTACGCCCCCGGGCAAGGACGCCTCTATCTGTAGACGCCCCTGGCTAAAGGTATAGCTTGTTCTCAACACGCAATCTCCAGCCCAAATGCCATCAGCGAAATTCTCCAGTCACGTGCCCAATCAATGGTCTATTTTAAGCGCAGATATTGTTAGTGGTCGTCGTCGTTGTGACGTTCTTAATTGTGGCTGTCTGATTGATTTCGTGGTGTATTTACTTGACGTGTGTTGTTGTTTTGTTGTTCTTGTCGTGGTTGTTTTTGTTTTTGCTTCGTGAATGTTATTGTTGTACAACTTTATGAGACGGGAGTCACTAGGGTTCGTAATTCGCGTGACTTGTCGCCTGCCTCTCCGTTGAGGTTTGGGTTCAAATTCGCGTGACTTGTTTTTTACCTCTGAGTTTGGGTACAAGGCTAAACAGCCTGAAACAGGTACCAGACACTGCTACGTCAGTTTTCGTTTTTCTTTGTTTGTTGACAAGTGCACTGTGATTTTCCAGACACGATGTTTATTATTTTATTTTGTTGTTACTAACAATGAAACATATATTTCCATCATCTATAAATCTGACATGTTTTCCATGGTGGGGGCTTCAAGAGATTTCAGTCTTTGGCTATCCTCCGACTAACGGTCGGCAAAAGATGACGGCCGCAAAATATACAGCCGAGCCGCAATCACGTGTTAATTGCGCGCTTCCGGCTACTTAATTTGCGGTCTTCCGCCGGTTTTTCGCCAACAACCGCTACCGCCACGTGGATTGGGGCTAAACTAGATGGCTAGGACTCACGAGCAGCAGCTTCCGCATCTCCTGCAGCCTTGCTCGTGAGTCCTAGCCACGGCCAACTCTAGATATATATAGGCCAACTGGGTCAACGGGGATTCCCGTTCTTGTGCAAGATTTGAGTCCCTCTGTGTTAACAGTTTTTAATCGAAGAGATGTATACACAAATTAAACTACATTTTCATTAATTTTCTACATATTTTATAGAACTATACGTCATTTTTAAGGTAAATAAGTGTGCCAATTAAATATAACAATAAAGGCTCTTACAGACAAACAAAAATGCTTTTGCTGCAGTCAACATGAACATAAACATCAATAACGTTTAGAAAGATATAAACTAAAAGTTGTTCCAGCAAAAGTAAAGAAATATCAGTGCTAACTCTTTGATTCTGAGAGGGTATTGTTGCATCTGAGGAGCCGGGTGGGGGGATGCAAAAGCCAATTTACAAAAATTAACACAGACCGTACAACTGCAAATATGCATAAGAAGTGGATGAACAACCAGAAGTTTCCGCAAGAGTTTACAGCCAGTGTCCGCGATGCAAAAGCCAATTTACAAAAATTAACACAGACTGTACAACTGCAAATATGCATAAGAAGTGGATGAACAACCAGAAGTTTCCGCAAGAGTTTACAGCCAGTGAATATACAGCCGGACTTGGTCCTAGCCATCTAGTTTAGCCCCAATCCACGCCGCGTTAGCGGCGTGGGGCCACGTGGCGGTAGCCATAGTCGCCGGAAAAGCGCACATTAAGTAGCCGGAAGCGCGCAATTGACACGTGTCTACGGCTCGGCTTGATATTTTGGGGCCGCCATCTTTGCCGACCGTTAGTCGGAGGATAGCCCAGTCATTTGATATGCGTATAATAACAGTAAAAATATTATATCAATGTACTTACTAAATGGCAATATATATATATGTTGTGTGCTACACTTACTTTGCTATTCAATTGTACCTGATGTCAGGTGCTTGATCGCCTACGCCGGTTGTGGAGAAGCTGGATGATGATAATGAGGATGATAGAGACAAGTGCAAAAAGGCCCACGCTGTGCAAAAAAAGTTGGAAAAGAGGTGTTACTTAAGTCCCACAGAAAACATTGGTTTGCAAAGATATTGCGAGAGTCTGGAACTAATCAGTGGGTATCCAGTTAGTGCCGCTTAGTTTCTGATAGAGTTAGAACGTGAGTGTGACTTGTATGTGTATCATTTTATTCGGAGGAAAGCTAAGATTGTTTGTTAGAGTTTGATGTATATTTCGGAATGCTCTAGTTCAGTGTGTCGGCTCTGAGGTTAAGTTGATGCGAACGCTTGGTAATGCCGGGATGCCTGGTTCGATCCCAGAAGCGGGCCAGGCGCCTTGCGTTGGTTTCGACAGTGGTATCAAGAAAGCCGACCGTCCAGAGGCAATAGCAAACTACTGGATGTAAATTTGCCTAGAAAAACCACAACGTCCTGTAAAGGATACGCAACTAACCTAGTTCAGCGTATTTAATAGAGACAAGGCGTTGAGGGCACAACATCTTTTTTTGTGTGTGTGTGTGTGGATCCAATGGCGATGAAGTGTTCCTAATCGCACTGGGGGCTGATTGCGACTGTTTGTCGGGAGACTTGGTGTGCCGGGGGTAGAGTCTATAGCCAGTTATTATGTATAGTCTATTGGTGACCTAAAGTGTGGGCACATAACCGAGGCGTTTATTAAAGGCTACTGGTGACCCCAGGAAAAAGCCTGTGGGCCGAAACGTGTTAAGGTTGTGGACTCACGTCAAATAGAGGCTAGGTATCGCCCTTTGAGGTGATACCGCCTTGGAAGTATACCAGTTGGTGTCGGGGAGAATTAGACGGACAGTAGATCGGCAATCACCAATTTATCCTTCATCGTCATGTTTACGTCAATGATAAAGAGACTGATGCCCTATTAACAATGACGGTTACCCGGTTGTTGTCGGCTTATAACATGAGGGCCAAGCTAAACCCTAACCTGGAAAGTGCCACAGTGAAGACTTATTATGTAAGCCACAAGTTTCAGATTCATTCGCAAATGTGTAACTTCCATCTAGGAGAAACTATCACTGGGCTTGTCGATCGCATCGCACGGTTTGAAAGCCAAGAGCCGTGTTATGCATTGGAGAAAAGAAGTAATCGTTCGAATTTGTTTGTCCTTGACAACAATGGAGGCGCAGCCAAACCTTCCTACGTCGGAGAGAGGTCATCATCTTCGTTATAGCTTGCTCATGATTGAGGACGACGGTCAGGCAGTCGATGAAATGGTTTTGGAAGGTTGTTCACCAGGAACCATTGGCACTGTTGAGTCGAATTTCCAGGGTGTTTGGATATAGACTGTTATGGCTGTTTTATGCTCTTCGGAACGTAAGATAGACAATGTTAGGATAGTAATATCAAAGGTTTACTGGACATGACAGACTGGACCATCGAACGTGGTTATCTCTTTGGAAGAACTTTGATCGTAAAAAGGTCGACTTGCGAACGTTTGCAAATGTATGGGTGAAATGTTGATCATTTACCTCTAGACACCTCGCCAGATATGCTATCCATACGCCGAACAGCTTACATCATTTATATATATATATATATATATATATATATATATATATAGATATATATATATATATATATATATATAATATTAGAAATGATACGAAGTAAAGAACTGCAATAATACTTAAGGAGAGAGAGAGAGAGAGAGAGAGAGAAAGAAAGAGAGAGAGAGAGAGATAGAGAGAGAGAACTTATTGTCAGGGAAGACGCTACATTCCTCTCAGATTGTTTTCTTGATGAGTGGTGCTCTCAAGACCATAATTCCCGCCCCCCCCCCCCCCTTCTTTGTTTTCCTCGTTTCCGGAGCTCCCGAACCATGTGTGCGACTGCAACAGTCAGCGTGAAGAGCTTAACTGATCTTATGTGGGGGAGATCATCTAGGGGATTTGCCCTGTGTATTATGTTGTCGATTCTCAAATCAGTAATCAGGAAATAGAATCAACAGCAATATCAGTGAAACAAAATAAGCTTTTTCCCGATCAGTTCCAGGATTGAAAGAAACCATCATCGAGTAGTAACACAAAGTACACACGCACTACTTTGGCCAGCACCACACAACTAAGATAAGCCAAATCTAGTCTAGGTCAGGTAGCCCTGCCAAGCAACACAAGCACTGAGACACACGCATCAGAGGTGATTGACATGACCTCAGTCACGTAACTGCAGCAATTAGGATCGTTTTAGAATGTCTTCTTTGCTATGATAGACCTGAAAGATAAGTATATCTAACAGCGTTCCGACCATCACAGAGAAAGCCGATCTAGCAGAGAGTCCATTTGTCTCGGGGAGAGCCTGTCTATCGCAGGCTGCTCTAGTTCCGGCCATTATATTCTTGATAACTAACAATCCATGAGACACCGATATCACTGCTCGTGTAATAAGTAAAATAGTGGAAATGAGAGCTATCAGTGAAGATAAAACTAGGATATGTTCGGTATTACAGCGCGCTTAGCCTCATAATCGCTTGTCAACACACGTAAGTAGGTGAGCTAGAATTATGTTATGTCGACCGACTTGCTGCATGTGAGAATGTCTTTGTATTTGATCTGGTATTGTTTGTGGGTATGTCGTAATCGTTTAACAGCTTCTGTTTGTTTGTTGGTTTGTCTTGGGTTCATCTTATTTCTTTTTTTTTCTTTATATCATTATCTACTTCTTTTAATTCCTTTTGTTATATCTCATCTGTCGATGCATGTCCCTCCCTCCACTTTTCTTTTTCTTCTTCTTCTTCTTCTTCTTCTTCTTCTTCTTCTTCTTCTTCTTCTTCTTCTTCTTCTTCTTCTTCTTCTTCTTCTTCTTCTTCTCTTCTGCTTCTTCTTCTTATTTTTTTTCTTCTTCTTCTTCTTCTTCTTCTTCTTCTTCTTCTTCTTCTTCTTCTTCTTCTTCTTCTTCTTCTTCTTCTTCTTCTTCTTCTTCTTCTTCTTCTTCTCTCTTTTTTTCATTTTTTCTTCTTCTTCTTCTTTCTTCTTCTTCTTCTTCTCTTCTTCTTCTTCTTCTTCTTCTTCTTCTTCTTCTTCTTCTTCTTCTTCTTCTTCTTCTTCTTCTTCTTCTTCTTCTTATTCTTCTTTCTTCTTCTTTCATTTGTCTTCTTCTTCTTCTTCTTCTTCTTCTTCTTCTTCTTCTTCTTCTTCTTCTTCTTCTTCTTCTTCTTCTTCTTCTTCTTCTTCTTCTTCTTCTTCTTCTTCTTCTTCTTCTTCTTCTTCTGCTTCTTCTTCTTTTTTTT